GGCAAAAAACAAATGCAGTCTGGATCATACTCCTTCCATATGTTTATACCAGGTTAATCTTGACCGTCCCCTGGGCCTTCTGCCGGTTGGTTTCGCAAGAAAGAGTTGCTTAGCCTTCCTTTCTGGAGGCATTCGCAACACGTGCCCAAACCGTCGCAGCTGTGACTTCTCAATCAGGAGAAGCGAAAGTTCTCGTGCCATTACAGCAAGTCAGTTCCACTTGTTTGTTAGACAAAATTTTCGCCTCATGGCTGTGCGCTTTTCTGTCACCCGTCTTGAGCAGCGAGCGCTTAGACAATGTTAGGGACTGACATCATCTGAAGATTCTCAACTTTGTCGTCATGTAGATATACTTGTGCCGATTTTATTAACGACAGGAGCTTTAACAGTCTCTGCTTGTTTGATCAGCTTATCGTTTCAAAGTTTATGACGATTGTTTTACCTTGCACAAACTGAATAATGAGCCAGATCTTAGCGTTATTTCTTTTACTTCCTGATACATCGTATAAATGACCATTAACCCTCACACTGTGCTCTGGTTCGATTAACGAAGAATAAGCTTGCGATTCTCTAACCTGAAAGAAAAGATGCTATATTGTCCTGGTGTATGTCTATCACATACCGGATAGCCTCCGGTCTGTGATGATCCATTATATTCTATGCTTTACAGCGCTTGCGAGATGAACATGTTTTTAGCTGCGCGTACCATAAATAGCTGCCAATGTAGGACATATTAGCCGTAAATTATATATAAAGAGTAGTAGCAGAGCAAATAGAAGATAAATTGAAGGAAGCACATGTATTAATTAATTCCATTATTCGCAGACAGAGAATTTATTGATTACAAATCTGACATTGTGGCACAGTGACCGATCGATCCTCATCAAGTAACTAAAAAGGTATGCAAATGCGTTAAGCAGAACGTTTTGTTCTGCGTTAATGAAACTATTTAACCCCTTCTGTTGAAATGTTAAAGTAACTGTCACAACCATCACCAGTTCAATATAGACTGGCTGCGATTTCTTGAATAAGACTTCGTTTTATCATGCATCATCTCAAAGTCGTTGTGTCAATGTAAAAATCACTGCAATTTTTCGCGAGGGAGGGGTGAACAAGAAACCACAATAAGGCCGTTTATGGTTTCTAAGGGCTGTGCTGTATTTGGTAATCTAATTTTCAACGATCAACAAATTTTGTATATGTAAATTAGGTCGCAAGTATTATTACATGCAGGTATACCACATTTCTGCTGTACATGTTAAAGAAGTTTTATATAAAAAATTTCTAGAATTCTTCAAATATGCGACAAGGTACTAAAAATGAGGAATTACAATAGAAAAAGGGAAAGGACTAAATAAAGAAGGAAAGTGTCGTTTATTATCAGAGCTGTTGCAAAAATGTTGAAGGAAAACGTAATTTGTTATGGGTTAATGAAAATGTCAACAGTTTACGAATACGCAGCATCAAAAATTTAGGCGTTTTGGGAATTACCGTTATTTTCTCTATTATGACATTTATACAACAGTAGGATATTCTAATACAAATCGTGAAATAGAAAGAGAAGTGTCGTATGACTGTTGATCGATGCCCAGAATAGTGACGACGATTAGGATGATACGTCGTTTCTGTCATCACTTGGCAAGTTTCTCCATATGCAATCGTATCATATTAACGATTTTGGCGTGACGACCAATCAGCGCTTTGTCTAAGCAGTTGTGACCACATGAATCGACAGCGAACGGGTCAGCATTGCTTTCCAGCAGATACTTGACCATATCAGCATGTCCGAGACTGGACGCCTGAAACTGATAGTCATTAGCCACTACAAATTCAAAGCTGTTCATCAAATCAGGTATACCACGTGAAGTGCCGTTCGCTTGTCGTAATCCGAACTGTTCAAATCAGCACCGGCCGCTTCCCATGCCTTCAGCAGCTGGAGATCATTGCAGCTTGCAGCTCTAAAATACAAAGAAGGTCAGAAATGTCCAGTGAATCACCAAATCACAGGTAAACTAAATTCAAATTCCATAAGCTCAAAGTTAATACGAATAACAGATTACGGAACATTCAAAAATTGGTAAATGAAATGACTGATAACAACCGAGGCATGAAAAAATTAAATCAAAGACTGATTTCAGGGTTCAGCTCTCATAGCAAACGAAGGGAATGTCATCAGGAGAGAACGGATTCTAGAGTAGAAGATTTCTGTAGAAGCCTGTATACAGATAAAAACAGCAACAGCTTAGATGACGATAAGGAATATGAAGATACAAATAAAGGTAACGAAGTTACAGATATCTTGTTAGAAGAAGTGCGACATGCAATAAGTCAGACAAACCCAGGTAAGGCTACTGGCGAGTACGGCATTACAGTTGAAGCCGTGGAATCAGGAGGGGAAGCACTGAGAAAAATATTAGTACGCTCTTCACACTGTTTGAAAATTCCAGATGGTTGGACTACCGCATCGGTGACTCCACTTTACCAAAAAGGAGACAGACAGGATTTGAAGAATTACAGGCCGATCAGTTTATTGTCAATTATCTACAAAATATTCACGGAGATACTGACAAACAGACTTCAGGAAACACTAGATGCTGCACAGTCAAAGGAGCAAACCGTACTCAAAAGTGAATTGAGTGCAACTGGTCATCTCCAGGTGCTACAACAAGTAATTCAGACAAACAGCTAATATCAGCTTCATCTCTGCCTTCGAGAAGGCTTTCGAGTGATTCTACGCGTGACTTGTAGTGGATTTCTTTCAGGATTGCCTCAAAGCAGGATTGAAAATGAACCTGAAGAAGTGCAACTCATGTTTAACAAACACGTGAGCGCGCAACCTGTTTAAGTCATCAGTCTTAGGCTTAGAGAAATACGACACTGTAAATCTGCGATAGTAAATCTTCGTCACAGAGAACCTACTATAAAATCAACAAAAGAATAAAAAATATCATGGACCATCTTTTGAAAGATGGAAAATTTTTTTATGATGGAATCTGCTTTTGTCATTCAAACGGAAAGTTCAATCAGTGTTTGCTCCCAGCACAAACCTCCGGATGCGAAACTGGACTAAGACTGAAAGTTACCTACAAACTGCAGACTACGCAACGCAACATGGAAATGTGTTTTGAGAATAACAAGAAAAATAGGAAGATGAATGGATGAATAAGAGCACAAACAAGGGTGTGCAATGTAATTACCTGGTTAAACAAGTTAAACTAGCAATGGGCAGGACACGCTGCAGGAACAATCGCTGAAGCAAAGAGACATTATACTGGATTCGAGCGTAAACGGTTCAAAGGACGACCTGCAATTCGATGACGAAATGAGCTAAAGAAGTTCGATGGATCAAGATGGATAAAAACAAGTTTTGAAGAGGCCTTCATATATTAGTGGACTGAAAAAGGCTCATGGCTATGACGATGAAGTTCAAAATAATAGGATGTGAAATGATGATATGCCTGGTGCTTTACAGATGCCAAGTTAAAATCCCACTCGAGGCGTAAATTTTTCTTTTTATGTGCTAATTCTGTGCGCTGGTAACATCGGTGGACAAATGAGTAATACTTTCTTGACCGGCGAATAAACCGAACAGGATGGCGCTCTGATATGATCATGATAGAATGTGAGACAAACAACCAAGCTATCTTATGCATGCGCCTTAAAACGTTACATCGGCAAAAAATACGGCTGTACTTTTTTACTTGTAAATTTGCCCCTTTGCTTGTAACTTTACTTGTACGGATATACTTGCAAATCTTACCCCTTTGTCATCTGACAAATTTCTATATCTTACGAGAAGCGCAATCAACATCAAAAATATATTATGAATAACATACGAACACATCTCTATCCCTATGTTCAGCGGATCCAACGACAAATGGGCTCCAGCGGAACGGAGCAGCTCGACGACGTCTAGGTAACGATGGCGAATAGCCTCCAGAAGAGGCGTGCTTTCAAAGTTATCCCTAAAATTATACGTTCCATAGTTATAAAAAGCTGTTTCCAGCTTTTAACCTGGAGTGTATATTGACGCCTTCTGATATCAAATACTTCACTATTTCGATGTGCCCACAACTTGCGGCGGCGTGCAATGGCGACCGCTTCTGATGGTCAACGTAGCTAAGGAGTGCGCCCTATAATGTTATATGCAAGGTTAGTAACAACGTTCACTGACTGGAACACATAATCCGGCTCTTAATGATACGAGATCAAAAAAGAGTCGGTTAGAAACCTGTAAAAATATTTATTAAGGCGCTCAGAACCCACGACGATGTTCTTTCATTAGCACAATTAATCATTTACAGTAAAACTGTCTAAATAAAAAATCAACAGATAAATAGATAAAATAATGT